TTGAGCCTTACCAGTTTACCAGCAACAAGTTCAATAATGTTTTACAAAGTATGAACACGGAATTAGGTATTAAACAGCTTCCAGGTTCTTAATCTAGAAAGAGACAGTTTTATCTAGCAAACCAAATTAAAGGCAGAAGCAAAGATAAAGCTTCAACAAGACACTGCATCTCACAGATCCAATTCTACAAGACATTATAAAAAGTCCTCTAAATCCCATAGTTCAAACGCTCTACACTCAGTGAGTGACTTATTAGTGCCTGTACTGAAGTGGAAGTCAGCAAGGTGCGGGCTGCATATGCAAAAAAGAGAGCAGATTTGGAAACTCAGTCATCACGCTAAAGAGCAGCAATAGACATCTTAAATGAACAGTGTAAACAACTATGGCAGAACTAAGAGTCCTAGAACAAGCTATCAGTGCAGATGGAGGTGCAAGTGAGAGACAGCATTAACCTAAACATGGTGGATATGGAAGATCCCCTCAAACTCACTACAGACTAGGTTATAAGCCACTGCAGTGCACACTCTATCGTATCCAATGCTCCTGACAACATAGAGACGTCTTTTCGGCATCAAGTTAAAGAGGTTCCAGCAACTTCCCGCATGCAAAATTGCTCCAACACTTTTCCTGCCTATCTAACTAACATTCCTTCACAGAGCATCAGAGAAAGCTGCAAGCAAGTCATTAATCTCCTGTCATCAGTACAGCCTCAAAGAAACGTATCATTGGAGTAACTGACTTCAAGCAAGAAACTCTCCTGAATGCATCTGCTGCACCATATTTCCCTGTGTCTTATAACAGCGATGTCAAAGACAGCGCAATCAGCACCGTTCAGCCAAAACATCTTGCATAAAGTCGGAGACAACTGAGACAGCAAAGTTTGTGAGGTACATATTTTGCAGAGAGCTCACAAATACTGGTCTTACAAGTTTTGATGACCAACCTGAAAACTACAGAAGTTGGAAATGTGCTTTCAGAACTGCAATCAATGATCTTGGTATTATAGCTGCTGAAGAATTGGATCTGCTGATCAGATGGCTTGGTCCTTTATCTGCTGCATGTGTTAAGCCATTAAGACCAGTTTTCATGGACAATCCTACAGCAGGCCTCACAGCTGCATGGGATCGATTAGAGCAAAGTTATGGCAGTCCAGAAGCTATAAAAAATGTTCTGTTTGTGCGTCTGGAAACTTTCACAAAGATATCTGGTAAGGACAACAAGGAGTTCCAGAGACTGAGTGACCTTTTCCTTGAGCTTCAGCTAGCCAAGGCAGACCCAAAACTACCTGGACTCAGTTACCTGGAAACTGCCAGAGGGGTAAACCCAATCGTCTCGAAGCTCCAGTATGGTTTGCAAGAATAATGGTCCGGACTAGGGTCATTATACAAAAACAGAACGTTTCCTTCCCTCCATTCTCTTTCTTCTGAAAATTCATCAGGATCATTGCAGAGACCAAGAACGACCCCAGTTTTTCCTACGATGAGTACAGTCTCTCTTCATCCTTTCCTAAGATTATCAGTTTTCAGGCTAACTATAGGAACCGTAGAGGCCCAGTATACGTGAGAAAGACTGACATCCTCTCCACTCCCACCATATTTGTAGCTGCAAATAAACAAAGTAGGAAGATTGAAATCCCTAACCAAGAGTGTCTCATTCACAAGAAGCTACACTCCCTCAAAAAAAATGTATAAGTTTTAGGAAAAGGCCTCTTGAAGAGTGAAAGGAGCTTTTAAAGACATTCGGGTATGTTTCAAGTGTTGTGCTTCTGCCAAACATTTTGCTAAGGACTATAATATGTCCATCAAGTGCATAGAGTGTGCCTCAGAAGAACATGTGCAAGACCTCCATCCACTTGAGCCCAGCTCTGTACAACCTGTTAACTCTCCTCCCAGGTCAAGGCAAGGCGGGGAGAATACAGATCAAGTGCCTGATTCCACCATAATTTCTTCATCCTGCACTGAAGTTTGTGAGGAAGACTGCTGTGATAAGTCGTGTGCTAAGGTATGCCTGGTGAATATATACCACAAAAATCAACCAGAAAAGACTCTAAAGGTGTATGTGATCTTAGATGATCAGAGCAATAGATCACTTGCAAGATCCGAACTGTTTGATCAATTTTAAATAAAGGGTGAAGCTCATCCTTACACCTTGGGTACTTGTAGTGGAAGTACAGAGGTTTTTGGAAGAAGGGCTTGTGGACTCATGGTATCTCTTTTCAAATGTAACCTGCAATTACTCCTACCTACACTTGTTGAGTGCAATCAGATACCTGCTACCTGGGAAGAAATCCCCCTACACCAGCTGCTGCCTTCCATCACCCTCACCTGAAAGTAATAGCAAGTGAGATACCACCACTTGACAAAGATGCTCAGATCTTTTTCTGTTAGGAAGAGACATTCTAAGGGTTCACAAGGTACACAGACAAGTCAGTGGAGCCCCAGATGCCCCATTTGCCCAGTGCACAGATCTAGGTTGGGTCATCAGAGGCAACGTCTGTATAGGCAGAATGAAGAGACCTACCAACGTTTCAGCATTAAAGACAAATGTTCTGCCAAATGGCCGAAACACTTACTTTGAGCCATGTCCGCATCACTACTGGGTGATAGAGAAGATAGCCAGCTGCAAATTGCGACATAGTGTCTCAGGTAACACAAGCCCTTTCTTTCCCTATGACGATGACCTCGTCTCTACAGTGTTTAATACAACCAGTGAAGATGAATGATATACTGGCTCCTTCAATGGAAGACAAATAAATTTATCAGAGTAATGGACAATGAGTTCTTTCAAGACAACTCCAATAACTGGGTAACACCCATACCTTTTCATCTCCCAAGAGAGAGATTGCCCAACAACTTGCAGCAGGCCATCAATAGATTCTCCTCCTTAAAGTGCAACTTAAGAAGGAAACCAGAGATGCAAAGGCACTTTGTGGACTTTATGCAAAATAGATTTGACAGAGATCATGCAGAGCCAGCACCCCCCACTAAAGGAGGGAGAAGAATGCTGGTAACTTCCATCCTATGGCGTGTATCACCCACGCAAACCAGACCAAATCAGAGTTGTCTTTGATTCCAGCGCTCAGCATGAAGGTGTTTCTCTTAACAATATGGACCCAACTTGAACAACAGTCTAATAGGAGTCCTGATCCACTTCAGACAGGAGCCCATAGCAGTAATGACCGACATTCAACAAATGTTTCACTGCTTTTTTGTCAAAGAAGACAACAGAGACAACCTCAGGTTTCTATGGCACAAGGACAATGACATCAACAAGGAAGTGATATATTGTCGGATGAAGGTACGTCTTCGGGAACAGTCCTTTGCCTGCAGTGGCAACTTACGGGCTACGGAGAAGGGCTCAGGTTGGAAAAAAGGAATATGAATTTGATGCCCACCAATTCATTGAAAGAAACTTCTATGTTGACTACGCACTCAAATCATTTCCATCTGCTAAAGAAGCAATCAATCTTCTCACCAGAACAAAGGAAATGCAATCTGTAGCAAACCTTAGACTTCACAAGATTATATCTAACAGACAGGAACTTATGAATGCCTTTCCTTCTGGGGACTATGCCACTAGTCTAAAAAAACCTTGATTAGGTACAGATGTGCCTCCCATATAACGAAGTTTGGGTTTGCTGTGGAACATCAAAAAAGACACATTCACCTTCCAAGTGTCAACTTGTGATAAACCCTTCACTAAGAGAGGAGTCTTGTCGGTGGTGAACAAGCATCTATGATCCACTGGGTTTCATCGCTCCAGATACCATTCAAGGTAAAAGCCTGCTAAGACAGTCATCTGCTGAGAACATAGACTGGGATACTCCTTTACCCAGTGAGAAACAACACAAGTGAGAAAGGTGGAGATGTTCTTTGAGGTCATTAGAAAAACTTCAGATTTCACGTTGCTATGTTCCAGTTTCCATTTCAACTGCTGACCATAGAGAGATTCATATTTTCTCCGATGCATCAGTTTAAGCTATTGCTGCAGTAGCCTATTTAAAGACCTCTGGAATTAATGGAGAATCCCACATAGTTTTGTTCTAGGCAAGGCACCAGGTCAGCGTGGTTAAAAACAGTAATACTTTATTTAAAAGACACTTACATCTAAAACTCCCTCGTAGTGTGTGGCAGGTAGGAACACCAGAGCCAGGGGCATCAGAAGAGCAGATTTGATGATCTGTGCATGGCCGGGGTAGAGACCCGCTGCAGTGGATAAACGGAATCTCTGTGTGCCTTCCCGCAGGTGGTAGGGAGAAGTGACAGGTGCTGTGAATGGAAAGAGGGGCGGGCTACAATGTGTTTCAGAAGCTCCGCCTCCTTTGTCAAGAGAAAAGTCTCCCCGGGCCATGCGCAGATCATCGAATCCGCTCTTCTGATGCCCCTGACTCCAGTGTTCTTATCTGCCACACATGCCGAGGAAGTTTTAGATGGAAATGTCTTTTAAATAAAGTACTACTGTTTTTATCCACGCTGACCTGGTGCCCTGCTTGTTGTTCCTTTGCATACTTCTGTGGGATCCCTCCATCCTTGGCGAGGAGCTGCCGGTCCGCTCATGTGGTTCTTCAGTCTCCTCTGTCCATTTCCCCTCTCATTCTGCACATCCATCGGATGGATCTGCTGACTGCTGCATCCTGAACACCGATTTCGCCCGGAATCCTGTCCCCCATCCATTATTCCTTGGAATGGGTTTTATTCCCTTTCCTTTTAATTCCATTTTAATTTTGTTTCATTTTATATTCCACTTATTTTCCTATTTATGTTCCATCATCTGTGTGAGCGCTGAAGGGTTGTTTATAGTTTCTGATGATCATCCAGTTTTAAATATGCACTCCTCGTGTCCATAGGAACTGAAATGGTATCTTTAACCACCTCCCACCCACCATATAGTCCAATGACGGGCGCACGGTGGTTCTTTTGTTCTGGGTGGACGTCATATGATATCCTCCCATTCTCACTGTGCATGCGCGGCTCGGGGAGCACGCAGAGCACACAGCGGATCACTGATCATGGAAAGAGCTGAAGATGTCGGCTCGGTCATGTGATCAGCTGTGTCCAATCACAACTGATCACATGTAAATAGGGAAATGCCGGTTATTGGCATTTCTCTCCTCTCAAGCTGTCACGCTGACAGCTCAAGAGGAAAGGAGAGCTGGTAATCGGCTTTCCGCGGAGGGGACATGTACACTGGTCATCAGGGCACTGATGATCAGTGTGCCCTGATGATCAGTGTAGCCCCAGCAGTGCCACCTGTCAGTGTCCATCAATGCCTTGTGTCAGTGCTGATCAGTGCCTCGTGCCAGTGCCCATCAGTGCCACATCAATGCCACATATCAGCGCCTACCAGTGCACATTAATGCCACATATCAGTGGCCATCTGAGCTGCCTTTCAGTGTCACCCATCAGTGCCACCTATCAATGCCAATCAGTGCCACCTATCAGTGCTGCCAATCAGTGCCACGTATCAGTGCCAGTCAGTGCTGCCTGTCAGTGCGCATCAGTGCTTCCTAGCAGTGCCGTGTCAGTGCCGCCTAACAGTGCCAGTCAGTGCCGCCTAACAGTGCCAGTCAGTGTCGCCTAACAGTGCCAGTCAGTGCCGTCTATCAGTGCCAGTCAGTGCTGCCTATCAGTGCCCATCAGTGATGCCTGTCAATGCCCATCATTGCCACCTACCAGTGCCTCCTCATCAGTGCAGCCTATCAGTGCCCACCACTGCAGCCTCATTAGCGCATATCAGTGAAGGAAAAATATCACTTATTTACAAAATTTTATAACAAAAACTAAGAAAAAAACTTTTTTTTCCAAAATTTTCAGTGGTTTTTGGTTTGTTTAAGAAAAAAATAAAAAACCCAGAGGTGATTAAATACCACCAAAAGAAAGCTCTGTCACAAAACAATGATAAAAATTTCATATGAGTACAGTGTTGTATGACCGTGCAATTGTCATTCAAAGTGCAACAGCGCTGAAAGCTGGAAATTGGCCTGGGCAGGAAGGGGTATAAGTGCCCTGTAGGCTAGCGGTTAAACAAAGGAGTCAGTAGTCAGCAGACTGAGGCTCCTCAGGCACAGGAGAAGAGGGTGTAGCTGTACACTTGTGGCCCTGTTTTGTAAGTCATCTATCCTATCACGGCAGAGATTTTGGTCAAGAAATCCTGCATAGCTGAAGAAAACACCCCTCTGAATAGAGCGGGGCAGGAAGCCACACCCAAAGAGCTAGGGAAGACTAAGGATTGACTGGACTCAAGCAGGGGACAACGATTCAAGCTGTCAACATCAGGCTCATTGGGAGGAATGCTGCAAGCCATCCCAGAGCTGCTAGAGGACTGTGAACGGGTAAGACCTGATTAGGATCTGACATGTTGTGGTACAATGGCAAAGTAAAACACATCAGAACAGTGATGTACCTGGGGGGGGGGGGGGGTGGCCAGCACCGGGTACATACATTTTGAGGGTACCACAGCCAATCAACTTAGATCTCAGTTGTGCTAGTGCGGGCCGTGACTGCCTCCACTACACTATACACTTGCAGCTTGCAACTGAGTGATTCACATCAGCCTCCTCCTCTTTAATCCCACCCAGGAACACCAGAACATTGCTGCTCTGAGCTCCTCCCGCTGTATGTGAGTGAGTGTAAGGGAGGAGGTGTTCAGTACCCTGAGGGGGGCAGGGGGGTGTTTGTACTGGGAGGGTTCTGTACAGAGGGATCTGTACTTGGGGGGTCAGTTCTTACAGTTCTGTGCCCTGGGGGGGGGAAGGGATTATTTGTAAGAGGGGGTTCTGTACTGAGGAATCTGTACTTGGAGGGAGTATCTGTTCTTAGGGTTCTTTACCCTGGGGGAGGTGTTGTAAGGGGTGTCTGTACTGGGGGTGAGGGTTTCTGTACTAAGGAATTTGTACTGCTGTACAGGAGGGGGTTCTGTACTGAGGAACCTGTACTTGGGATTTCTGTTCTCAGAGTTTTGTACCCAGGGTGGATGGCTAGTGGTGTCTGTACTGAGTGGTGGTTCTCTACTGAGTAATCTGTACTGGGGAAGGGGTGTCTGTATTGGGGGTGTGCACTAAGGGGTGGGGGGGATTTAAGAATATTAGGAGGGTCAGTCAATACTGAAGGATCTGTGGGGGGGGGGAGTGATCAGTTATGCTTAGGGATTTGTGCTGGGGGGGGGGGGGGGGTTAGCTGTGCAGTGGGGTCTGTACTGGGGAGGCCGGTCTGTGCTGGGGGTTCAGTCTGTTTTGGAGGAGTTTGGGTTGTGCTGGCCGATGTTATTTTTTGTTTGCCAGTTGTTAAGGTTTAGCCTGCAGTTCCCTGTTTGTGAAAGTCTTACCTCTTTGCTGCAGTGGTTCAGCTAGACCTGTGATTCCATTCATATGTGCTACTGGCTTCTGTGCTCTGTGCTAATTTCCCAGATCATTTTCTGCCTCCTGCCATCTGTACTATGCACACGCCAATGGTCTCTGCATTGTCAACCGGGCATACCTGGGAGCTGCAACCTGGTTCCAGTCTGTTGCAAATCTATCCCCACCACTAGGGGCCCTGGTGAAGAAGCAGGCTGGGTCTTAGGCTCCATGTCTTTAGGAACCCCCAAGTTGGTTTTCTACAAGGGCTCACTACCATAGAAACTGGAGGCCAATGTCCAAATCTTCCTAAAGGCAGCAGTATAACCCAATGGTCCTGAATTCTACTGTTCCTGTGTCCCTTAATGAACAGTTAATTTTTATTTATTTATTTCAGGTACTTATATAGCGCCGTCAATTTACGCAGCGCTTTACATATATATTGTACATTCACATCAGTCCCTAACCCTCAAGGGGCGTACAATCTAGGGTCCCTAACTCACATATGCAAGGGCCAATTTAAACAGGATCCAATTAACCTACCAGCATGTCTTTGGAGTGTGGGAGGAAACCGGAGTACCCGAAGGAAACCCACGCAGGCACAGGGAGAACATGCAAACTCCAGGCAGGAGGTGCCGTGGCTGGGATTCGAACCAACGACCCTAGTACTGCCAGGTGGAAGTGCTAAACATTTAGCCACTGTGCTAACCATTTTTTTTGCCAAAAAAAGTATCCACAGCTTCTGATGTCTTTTTGTTTTCTGCAGAGAATAAAACCAGGTGCTGAGAAAATGTCATATGGCTAAATAGGAGTGCCACAGGACTTCAAAGAAGCAACAGCAGAGATAATGGCGGGGGACACAGCAGTGACAATATCCTTGACTTGGTATCCCTGGAGGACTGCACAGTAGGAGATAGCTGTGTGCCAAAACGTACAAGTCAAGTCTGCTGTGCATATGTGTACATTGTAGTGAAAACTCACTCCCAACAGTAAGCTTGCTTATGATTTAATGATCTCTTGAATAGAAACCTACCTCCTCAGAATCTGCTACGTCAATGAAGGACATATTTCCAGGCCTCCTCTTCCCATGTTCCCACCTTTCCCAAAACTTGGTGAATAAATACTGTTCTGTAGCTCTCTGAACCTTATGTGGGTCAATACTGTCTAAATCTTCTTGTGGAATGGACTCAATATATCTGTAAACACACAAAATACATAAAGGCATTAAACAAACAAAAGTAACAAAGTGCATAGGAAACAATTTTATGAATTTGCTAGGACAACAGAGGTTTTTATTGTCTATAAGTAATCTATTAAGTATCCAACAGCTTCAAAATTGAAATACGCTTGGTTTTATTCACAGCTACATTTATTACGTTTTTAATGAATATATAACTAGGTTAAACTAGACATTTTCATAACAACCTGAAGTTAATCTCTAAAGTGTATGTGAACCCTTACCTTGTAAAACAACTCATTCAGTTTAAAATATAAATGTATATATATATATATATATATATATATATATATATATAAATTGTAAATATTTTTTACATTTTTTTTATTAGTGATTACATAATCTCGGTTCTCAACTGCATAAGAGGCTTGGAGAGGTTGGGGTGGAGAAGCAGCAGAACACTGATCTTCCCAGTGATTGCAGTGAATGGCTGACCTGTGGGGGGGGGGGGGGGGGGAGGGGATGGGCGTGTTAGTACAAATCTGACCTTTGGAGGGCAGGCAGGCTGTTTTCCCAGCACAGCCAGAAAACTAACCACGCTGGAAAGGATGTACTTCTATGTCTAGCATGGTCAATTTGAAATAGGAGAGCAGGGAACTGGCAGAATTACTCGGTACTTCACACAAGAAAAAATACAAAAATAACAGGACACTTTTTAGCACAAGTACATGATACAACAGACATATATCGGGAATGTGAAATGTTCGGGTAACATTTTTTAATAAATCTCTAGTTAATGGAACATCAGTGCACAAAAATCCCCATGCTTTTCTTGTTTAAGGCATGTGCTTAGCAAACTGCCATTGATGCCAAGACTATTTACTGCACAAATACTTCCTAAGGGCCAGTTCACACTAGGAATCGCACAGGGATGTGCTGCATGTTCCTGTGCAATTCCCATGTGGTTCAATTTGAACCCATTCATTTTGTATGGGCTCAGATTGCACTGCATTGCACCAAAAGTAGTGCATGCACTACTTTTTGAAATGCACTGAAACCAGATTGAAAGGTACTTCTGTACCAGGGGTGGACTGATAACTCATGGGGCCCCCGGGCAGAGGGGGATCATGGGGCCCCTGTGTCCTTGCCCAAACTAAAAAAAGCCTATGAAAAAGATACCATGGGCATCACATGGGGCCCCCTACTGACCCCGGGCCCTTGGGCAGTGCCCCAGTTTTCAAATGGTCAGTCCACCCCTGTTCTGTACCTTGCAATCTGGTGCAGGCAAGAGCACTGTGTTTGCGACCTGCGACTGGGGTGTTGTTAACTTAACATTGACATCCTCTACAAATCACAACTGCAGTGCATTTTGAATGTAGTTCGGGAAACACGCATGGAACACAAGTTTCTCGCACCACGTTCTAGTGTGAACGAGCCTAAAGGTGTCTTTTTTGCAGCACGGTCTTGATTTTTAGATCTTTGAAAGGCTGAGCTAAGCTTAACTACCCATTGTTTGTCCAGAGGGGTGTAGTATTTTTCTTATTTTAGAAAATCGGAAGATTCTTGTTGGTATTATGAGCAAAGGGGTAGTGCCCACTAAGGCATAGTTTTGATTAGCATTTTAGCCCAGCTGTTTCAAACAGTCAACATGAATTATAAGTAGTTATATTTAGCTTATTGGTAAATATACTCTTATGCAGCTGAAAACAATTTATGTCAACCTGGTATTTAGCATCTTCCAAGGAAAGTCGTAAGTTCTGTTCAAAAATAAAATCCATTTGGGATAATGTACTCCTGCTGTTAAATGTAAGGATAGCAGATGGTGCTACAATGAAGAACTGTTCCAGTGTACAAAAAAAAAAAAAAAAAAAAGCACAAGTTCTAAACTTATATGTGATTTCGGTTTTGATATTTTCATGCATACATTTTTATATTGCAAGTGAGTGATTTCAAATTCAGGGCTTAAGAAGTGTGCGCTTTACTTTTTCACACTTACTT